TAATGTTTACGAGTATATATACGATTTGAATGTATTTTGGGAAGTTGTCTTCTTTTGATAATTTAATATTCTTTCCATTTTTCCACGAATATATTTTTTATAATAAATTCCTATTCCTACTTATAAATAATTAAAAATGCTGGACGGGGCAATGAAGATGCCAGCTTTCCGCCCTGGTGGATCAGATGCGACTCCTGTCGACGAAACCTAGTAATTCACATTGATAATCTTTCCAGAATATATGAGGTCTTGTTACTCACTACCAGTTTGAACCTGTAAAGGGCATGCAAAAACTCCTCTTAACGTCATCGAGTAGGAAACACGGGAAACTGAAAATATCAAAAAATTGATTAGCTTATCATTATTAGGTATAGTAAAATATATTACAACACAATTATTGTTTAGCTGTTGAGGATCCAGAATAAACTACTATGTTTGACATCGCTCCAGTTTTCATAAAGGTTGCTGAAATAGCTGACTTAATCTGTTGGCTTCCTGGAAATCACTAAACGATTTATAATTGTGTCCTGTATATAAAATCAGTCCGTAAATATACCAAACATTACATAAAATATATTGGAACATCCAGAAAGTTTTTAGATAAAACTTGAAGGAAACTTAGCATCGAGCTCGACAAAATTATCATCACTTACTTTAAATCAGCATGCTACATATCAACACGTAAAGATACAAAATTGGTCCATTAATTCATTTACATTGTACCATTTCTTTCTTAGCGACCGATTTCCGTTTCTACAACTTATTCATTAAACCAGGAACTTAATCGTTTTCATTGTTTTAGAAGAAGAAAAGGTCTAAAGGAAACTCTACCTTGGTAACTTCGTTTTAATTTACATTTTTTACTTATTATAGAATATGAAAATATAATCAGCAAAAATTATAAAAATGATCTATCAAAACAATTACGGCTCATTCATAAGAAAAACAGGTTATTTTGCTCATCGAATTATTAAAATGGGATGCACAGTGTAGTGCAAATACACTACTGGATATTAAAATTGCTACACCAGGAAGGAATGCAAATAACAGATTGATATTTATTAGACACACACATCATAGTGGGAAGAACAAGTAATTAAATATTCAGCAAATTTAGAGGTATAAATCTTGAGAAATCAATACCTAGAGCAGTCACCTCTGGCAGCAATAACAGCACTTATCCGCCTGGACGTGAGGTCGAACAGGGATTGGATAGCATGTATGGTACGGCAGTTCATGCAGCTTCAGCACTATGCCACAGGTTATCAAACGTGGTGACTGGCGAGTGGTGGCGTGCCAGTTGATCGTCAACCTTGGACCAGACATTTTCAATTGATGAGAAATCATGAGAACGTGCTGGCCAAGGGACAGTCGAACATGTTCTGTATCAAAAAAGGTCAGGACAATCAGGAACATGTGGTCGTGCATTGTCTTGCTGAAACGTAGCGTTACAGAGGCCTCGAAGATAGGGTAGAGCCACAGGCCTTAACACATCAGAAATGTAACGGCTGCTGTTCAAAGTGCATGAAATGCGAACAAGAGGTGATCAAGACGTGTATTTAATAGTACCCCATCACTCCAGGTGATGGGCCAGTATGATGATGTCGAATGCATGCTCCAGAGGTGTCCGTTCTCCACGATGCCGTCGGACACGGATTCGGCCATCGTGTTGCTCTAAACAGAAACGGGATTCGTCTGAAAAGACGATGTGACGCCATTCCTGCGTCCAGGTTTGTCATTGATCACACCATTGGAGAAGCTCCTACCTGTGATGCAGCATCAAGGATAGCCGAAGCCATGGTCGCCGTGCTGACAGTCCATACTGCTGCAAAAGTCTTCCAACTGTTCGTGCAGACACTTGTTGTCTTGCAAACGTCCCATTTCTTGACTAAGGGTTCGTGACGTGGCTGTATGATCCGTTAAGGCTATGCAGATAAGATGTCTGTCTTTTCGGCTATTGGTGATGGGGTCAGCTGAGATTCTGCACGGCGTTCTGTATGACTGTCCTGAACCCATTGATTTCATATTCTCCTTACAGTCATGGGATTACGACCAACGCGAGCAGCAATACTGCAGTACGATAAACCGCAATCCCGGTAGGCTACAATTCGATCTCGATCAAAATCAGACACGTGCTGGTAGGCATTTCTCCTTCTTACACGAGGCATAGCAACAAAGTCCTTACCAGAAAACAGCGTTGAAATGCAACATTTGTATAAGAAACTTGCTGTTCAATCTCTTCTTTTATACACATTGTAGGTGTCACTACCACTGCATGCTTTGCAGGAATGCGTTGAAAACCTAGTCACTTGCATATCACAGCTTGTTCTATCTGTCTTGCAAATTTAACGTATGTCGCGTGTTACCTTTTTGGTGTAGCAATTTTAATGGCAAGTAGTGTATATAAACGAAATATAGAGTTTTGTAGATTGGTTTATTGAATAGTGACCACTGCAGGAAATAGACGGCTTAACAAAAGAACGTCGCGTCGGCTGTGGTGTATAAACAAAGTAGTATACGTAAGGAAAATGATAATTGTATTGGTGAAACGAGGGGAAAGCAAAGTACGAGATTGGAGAAACACGTGACGTCAATTAGATTAGGTTATAGACAGTCCCTTTAGTTTTTGTATTGCATTGGACATGGTTGTAATATAACCAAAGAGAATGTTATAACATGTTCAGAAAACTCTACATAAAAAAAGCTGTTTTAAAAACAGTAAAATATTACAACATTTAAAGCCGATTAATTTAAAGTATGCGAATACATGCCATTTGGCAAAGTCTGCTGCGAAAGTATTGATATAAAAAGGTGCAATTGAAAGGCGGTCATAAAAAGTTCTTGTTAACGTCCTGGGGATTGTCATCGTCAATTGAAAAGAGTTAAGTAATCAAAATTGTACGTATTTTTCTCTACATTTTTTCGTATCAATGTATCTTATTATTTAATTTTTTTATTGTTTTTTAAAATTAATTCCTTGTCTTATTTTCCGTTTATTTTACACGTCTTTTAAAACAAAAAAGTCTCCATAAGAGGTTTCGAAGAGTATATTGTGATGTTACTAAGTTCTGTTTATGTACAAACTGCACTTTGGTAATTAAATGTTTATTGCATTTTTACACTGCAATTTTAACACTGCTAATGCAATTTATTTTATGCATTTGAAACTTTAAGAAATTTTTAAACTGAACTCTTGATTAAAACAGACTTGGTTTAAATACTAAGCATAAATTTATATAGCTAATTGGCCTGCAATTTTAAAAAATTGTAGACCTATAAATTCCCACCGTCGGACGTCTGTCCGATTGTCTGTTTCTCTCTCCATAATTTTCAGAACGGAGTTAGATAGATGGCCGGTACGACTCTTTTTTGAAGGAAAAGTATGACATATAAAAGCATAATACTTCCGTTTGGGTAAAAAGTATGTATTTTAAATAAAATAAATTAAAACTATGATTAAAAATCGCAGCCCGGCATCGTGACCATATTACAATAAATAATTGCTCGTTTTACTCGTATATTTTTATAAGATTTTCTTTCGATAACCCTTCTTTCATTCATAAGTCATTTAGCGATTCCTAATTACATATTATTTATAAAAATGCATTTAAGATGCGGATGAGCTAATAGTCTGACACTAACATAATCAAAACGGGCGAAAACCATTAGTAATTAATTACGCTTTATTTATAACGAATAAAATTTGAAATTAAAATAAATCGAATTTCGCTTCACTTCCAAAAGTTTGTTTTAGTGAAAGCCTTGTGTTGAACGACTAGTGAAGGTGATTCATATTGCTTTTTGGTTTGTGTCATATCTACGTATGAAAGTAGGGGAAATACGGACAAAATGACATATACGTACAAAATGACATAGGCACCATAATTTGAATTTGGCGGTCTCAAGCGCACAACTGACCATGACACCATGTTATACGAGCGGCTTTTACTAACCTGTCAAAATGTGAACGCACTCCTCTCATTGGCCCGGGTGTCATGGCCGACGACAAAAAATGATACGTNTGTGCACCGATCGTTTTAGCTTGGGTTTCCGATAATATTCCATTTATTTCCAAGAAGTCGGTCAAATTCTCTCCATTCACATAATCACAGACGAAACAGTGACTAAAAAACACGAATAGTTTATTACCCGAAACACATAAGATAAGACCAATCAGCAATATCAAAAAACTAAAGCTTACCTGATAGCAGTTTCGAAAATACCAATAAAAGTGACAATGTGAGGATGACTGGATACGCGGCGCCAAGCAGTTCCTTCTTTGAGAATATCGAATCCCTGTAAATAAAAAAGTATAATTAATATATACGAAATACGAAATTAATATATTATGTATTAGTTGTTTATAGAAGATTTTTGAAAAGTATTAACAACATTATTATATAAATGAACTGTGTTTTTTTCACTCAGGTGTACACACTTCAAAGATAAAATAAAGTAGTACATTCTTGGATTCTACCAACCTCGTTACAGACATGTCGTTTTTACATAGAAAGAATATCGAAAACAAGGCTCAATGCATACCTGCTTTATGAAACACCCTCGTTTCTTGATGGCTTTGACAGCGATTGCTTTGTCGGAACTTTTAGACCGACCCACATAGACTGTGCCAAAAGATCCTTCACCAATTTTTTGAAATTTGTACTTCTCTTTTGTATTGTTTAGACGTTGAAGTCCAGATTGAAAATCCTCCGATTCGCACTTCTACAATTATAAAATATTTTAGTTGCAAAGTTCGTTAATTGAAAACAGGGAAAATCAAAGAAACTCGAGTGTTACCGGTGAATCGGAAGTTTCTCCTTTTACGCAACAACAGGGCAACAGTTTACAAAATATACTTTTGAAAAACTGTTTAAATCGTCTTGGGTCTTGGGTTTGTTCACCTGAAATTGCGAATCTCTATTGTAAACAGAGAAACACTCATTGAGAGGCAAATCACAGAAATCCTAAGGAAAGTTAAGATTATAATATTTGTTACTCTTAATGCATATTTGAAAATCGAGTAAAGACCTGTTAATTCACATTTAATCAAAAAATTAATTTCTAAGTTGATTAATGAAATTGAATAACTTACATTATCAATCCAATAATTCCGATTTTGCTGACCGTTGGGTTCAGCGCCATCACTTCTATTATAACTAAATTGATGAAATTTCAAATAAATATCAAAGAAATGTCATTGGTAAACATTACTTTTGATTAAATTTACCTCTCTTTCTTCATTTTTTCACTGGAAAATCGCGAACGAATACTTTCCAAACTTCTCTTTTTCGCTTCAACAATTGCAACAATTCGAAATTGTTACATCGAGAACATTGTTGAAATATGACATTAAAATTAATGTCGTGTTTTCGATTTATATGAAAGTTTGGAATATATTGTGAATTTTGAAATGTTAGCAATAAAAACAAACGACGAGAATGAGAGATGTCATTACAGTTGCTGTAAAAGTCGAGGTGTCACATCTTTTTCAAGTATCAAAGAATGTAAAAATGTTAATAACAGAAAACAAATTTAATTCATTTTTAATAAAATTTACTGAATATATACAAGTTATAACAGATTTCAATACTTGTTTTATACTTATTTTGAATTTATCCTGCTTATAATATAAGTGAAATAAATGAAAAATAGGATAGAATATTGCAGCCCAGCATTGTGACGACGTCAAAATGAATAATTGCTCGTTCATTAAAGTACTGTCACAGCATGTTAAATCTATTAATTATCATATTTCATTGTTTCTACATTTACTCTGGGTTTAAAATTTGACTCATAAAGTGCACTGAATTCTTTGCTGTTTTTAAAGTCATAAGTCAGTTTTTTTTCTTTATTTGTAGTTTTCTGGATTTTCGCTTTTTACTTTTAGACTTTAATTTTTGTAATTATCTTGTAATCTTTTCTCACCTAGAATTGAGATGAGAATTTCCCTTTTCTTCCGTTTTTTCCACTAACAAACTGCTGCTTGTTTTACTAAAATTGGAGAGTTTTTTTCCGGAACGAAAATCATAAAAGCGGTAGGTCATTAAGTGAGGAGTGAATATATAAAATAATAATAAATAAAAACACTAATTTAGTCAAATAGAATTTGTCGTTATAAGTACTGTAGAAAATACATTTTATAATGGTTTTATCAATTTGTATAAAAAATGATGATGGTATAAATTTATTATATTCTTCAACACAATTTATATTTTTGTGGATTAACTTTGAGGATATAAAATCTACAGTAGACGAATAAATCACTGTTAATATAACTAAAATTTGTTTTTATTCATAGAACAATATTAGATTCAATATCACAAATTTTTCTAAATGGAAAACACATAAATAGCCTCGCATGGTTTTTTATTAACATTAATACACATAAAATTCGTGACTTATATGTGTATTATAGTTACAGCAATTTTACATAAAAAAATATTTTGTAAAGAAGGTTAATGTGTAATATAGACATCATCGATTAAAATAATTATAATATAATTTCAGATTTTGTAAACCAATACTTTTATGCTTTTAGGTATATTTAGTGTGAGAAACACTAATTGTTTCACTTGAATGAAATAAATATCATTTAAGTGAAGGCAGTTTTTAATATAAAATCGTATGTATAATTTAAATTTCTTATACGAAAATTTTGTNGTCGAATAGAATTTGTCGTTATAAGTACTGTAGAAAATACATTTTATAATGGTTTTATCAATTTGTATAAAAAATGATGATGGTATAAATTTATTATATTCTTCAACACAATTTATATTTTTGTGGATTAACTTTGAGGATATAAAATCTACAGTAGACGAATAAATCACTGTTAATATAACTAAAATTTGTTTTTATTCATAGAACAATATTAGATTCAATATCACAAATTTTTCTAAATGGAAAACACATAAATAGCCTCGCATGGTTTTTTATTAACATTAATACACATAAAATTCGTGACTTATATGTGTATTATAGTTACAGCAATTTTACATAAAAAAATATTTTGTAAAGAAGGTTAATGTGTAATATAGACATCATCGATTAAAATAATTATAATATAATTTCAGATTTTGTAAACCAATACTTTTATGCTTTTAGGTATATTTAGTGTGAGAAACACTAATTGTTTCACTTGAATGAAATAAATATCATTTAAGTAAAGGCAGTTTTTAATATAAAATCGTATGTATAATTTAAATTTCTTATACGAAAATTTTGTGGTGTTTCTGATTCAAATATTTCATAATTTATTCATCTTTTTTAATGTATTAATTTTAAATACTTTATTTGAATATACGTGTTATTAATAACAGGAAACAACTGTTGGAAAAACTGCCTAAATGGAGGAAACTGCACTCTTAGAGCAGGCAGACAAATTTGTAAATGTCCAATTGAGTTCTGGGGTGAAAATTGCGAAAAAGTAAATTTTTGTAAAATTCATCATCAAGACGGACTTTCCGGCGAAGATTACTGCGAAAGAGGGGATGCGAAATGTTTGAATGACGATAGTCTAAATTGCCATTGTTATAACCCTCATAGATATTTCGATTATGAAAGTGGAACGTGCATTAGTGAGTATCTAAAGTATTGTATGCAAAAATTGTGAAATAAGATCACTGTTAAGTTTTTGTTTCTAATTAGATCCATGCACAACCTGGCCATGTAGAAACGGCGGAACTTGCATGTTTAACGAAAATAGAAATTCGACGTGTTTGTGCACTCCTTACTTCACTGGAAACAGGTGTGAGTATGTCAACTGGTGCAAAGTAAAAAGAATTTCTGGAAAATCAGCCGAGGATTATTGCCTCGCGTATGGTGCCCATTGCGAAATGACAGGAAGTGGAAGAGTAGGATGCCACTGTAATACTAATTATTCCGAATTTGACTACTCGTTACGTGCTTGTATTAGTATGCTATATAAATTACAATTTACTTTCTCTCTTGCAATAAAATTAAATTTAAAATAATTAGAATATACATATAATACATAAAATATAATAATTAAAATATACGTATAGATTACAAAATATATAATATTTCATATAATATGCATATTTTAAGTTTATTGAGAACAAATATATTAAAAGTATATTAGACTCAATATATAGGGGAGACCGGGGAAGATCGGCATGTTAAGCTTTACTTAAATTTTGTGTAATAAATACTGCTGTAAACTGAAAAAAAAGCTTTGCATATTGTCTATTGGAATGTTACCTTACTATAGAACTGGTTAAAATCAGTTTGGAAATAAAAATAATTAAAATAATTACAACTTTACAAGAAGANTGGTTTTTTTTTGTTTTCTAAAAATTTCTCACTATTATTATTTCCGACAAATCGATTTTCCTTTTTTTTTTATAGTTTAATATCGAGAAATTCTTTTTTGTTTTCATCGTAAAGTCGAATTACCGTGTTTTATTTTCTTGTTTTTTATTCTATAATAAAATTTGATAACTTTCTAGAATACAACTTACTTTAAATAATGTATAAATGAAAAACAAAAGGACTTTACACTTCTAGTACTTAAAATATGCATGGATAATCAGATGAATTTCATTAAATTTTTCATTATCAATTCATACATTTCTTGTGTTGTCAATAACCCTATGTGTTTACTACACACCCAAATTACTATATTTCTTTTCAAAATTAATTATTTAATCATATTTTTTAATTTTATTTAATTTAAAATATATGTTCTCCATCTCAATACTATCTTGCCCCTGTAAATCATACTTCTCCTGTTAGCAATAGAGTCATGCCGGTCATCTATCTAACTCCTTTTAGGGGAAGTATTTCGAATTAATTTATTATATACAGAAATTGACATGTGTGCCATAAATAGAAAAGGATTTCAGGTGTGTTCTCAAAAGAACGCTATTTGCAAAAACGACAGATTTGCTAAATCAGGCAGCAGATATACGTGCGAATGTCCGCCAGAGACTGTACTGGAAAATGGAATTTGTAAAAGTAAGAAATAGTGTTTCGTATATTACTTAAATTAGAAAATAAATTAGTTTCATTTCAATTTAAATTCAATTTACAATATGTAATATTTTAAGTTATAATATCTTTTAGCTATTTCGATTTTAATATTGCTGTAAAGTCTACAAAGAAACCATTTTATTATAATTGATTAGTGTTTTTGACGGATTGATTGATAAATTTATTACAATTCATTGCGATTAAAATACACCATGGAGCTGTAAGTAATAAACGGATTGGCATCAAAATTTGCATCCATGTTTTCTTGTTTTTTTCATGTGTCTAACAAGTAAATATGAGCAATTCCACCAGAAGTTTTTCCGAGAGTCATCATTTAGACAGATTCACCTCGTGTTGAACGTGAACCTATCAACCTTTTTCTGATGTTTCTTTTTATTTTTATAATGCTGTACAAATATTTTTACTAACTATATAACTAGATACGTTTCGAATAAAAATGCGTACAGTAAGAAAGAATTGCTTGTACATTCTTCTGCTCTCTCTTTTTCTTTCCTTTTCTCCAATTAACAAAGCTTATAAGAGAAGATATATTTCAACACTGATTATATTGAGATATAATGCTACATACAAACTATAGTTATCTTCTCAGTTCTATTTTTATACCGTTTGTACGAATCGTACTAAGAAAGTTTTAAGTACATAATTTTTCTTCTTTGAGTTAACAGATGATCGATAATAAGATGAATTCGATTCACTATTTCACTTCTAGCAAGTTGTATTTTTAATTATCCTAAGAAGATATTTATTTATAAATAACTAGATTGATACGCCCTCTTCTCTCTTGTTTATAAAGTACTCGCGGTAATTGTTACATCCGGAGTTATTAACCGTAAATTTCAAAAGTATATGTAATAAAATCAATTTTAAAAACATTATTAGAAAGCCTATAACTACCTGGAATGATTTTTCTCGAAAATAACAAGTTTATAGAAACATTGTATAGCGAACAAACAAACAAACATTCTCATTTATAGATATAAATTACTTTTATCAATAAACGAATATAATGATTCAACATACTTTAAAATACATAATTTAAATTATATTCTAATTGTTTTTCTTGTTTATATTACATAATAATCATTATACATAAGATAAATAAGAAAAGAATTATTGCGTTTTATCGGCATATTATTAGAGTAACTTCGAAAAATAACTAAAACAATTTGTGATAAAAAGAAATAATTTAGTTCAAATATTCTTAATTAATGAACTAAATGTAAATTATGGAGAAGAATAAAATATTCTAAAACTTTTTATTATCAATGTTTAGAAAGAAATGCGTGTGAGAAAGGAGAAAAAGGGCATGAGATATGCAACCTCTTAAATGCTGAATGCAAACTAAATAGTTCTATATCAAATGGGTTCGAATGCAAATGTTCACTCGAATATGCTCCAAATAATTACGGAAGATGTATAGGTAAGTCAATTATAAAAATCCTGTTTTCAATCAGGAACAGTTTAAGATTAAAATTTTAACTCAGATACCAAGATATGCTACGAAGGACACCAAGGCTTTAGTGATTGCAACAGGAGAGATGCAGTGTGTTTACATAATTTTGATAACGAAATTGGTTATCAATGTGAATGTAGACCAGGATATAAGAAGTCTAAAATAGGAAAATGTAATGGTATGTGCTTTGTATCTGTAGACCTTATATACACTAATTTTGCAGTTGTCTTGGTTCTATCGGTTTGACAACCGGATGGACAAGGCGATTAAATATCTTAACAGAATGTTTTAAAAATAATAATTTGTAATTTATTAGAAATTACCGAATGTGACGAAGGGGAAGTCGGTTTCTTAGAATGTAATATCAAAAATGCAGTTTGCGTGCGGGATGTCAGCAGGTATAAGAGATACTTTTGTGTTTGTCCGGAGAATTACGCTACGGATCGAAGTGGTCGATGTCTGAAGAAGTATCATGGTAAACTTATACAAATATCAATTTTACAAATTTATTTTAATTAGGAATTTCAATATTTTTAGGTAATAAGAAGAATAACGAAATTAATATAATTAGCGATAATGGTATGTACTAAACTCTATTAATACAATATTGTTTGATTATACTGTATATAGACATGTATTGTATATATGAACAATAATATCATTTATGTATTAAGATCCGTGTCAGAAAGGAAACGTAGGATACGAAAAGTGCTTAAAGGAAAATGCAATTTGTATTGTTTCAACGAAAAGTAATTCGTTTTCGTGTCATTGTCGCCCAAAGCAAAGAAAAAATTCGAATGAAACTTGCACAGGTAAATTAACTTTAAAACAAGAACGTTTCTATAAGTGAATACATGTAATCTACATTACAGATTTGAATGTTTGCGAGCATGGAGAACTCGGTTATAAAGAAAGTACACTGCTATCCGTTAAATGTGTAAAAGTTGCAAGTTTGCAAAAAGGTTATGAATGTAAATGTACAGAAGGAGAAACAGTTGATCCCTCTGGAAGATGTATCAAGTTGTAGATAACCTTTAACTGAAGCAAATACATTATATTAATATATTGGCATTTATGAATTTTATTCTCTATTTTAATTTTAATTTAAAATCAATTATTTTAAGATAGCAATGGACACGAAAAACTTTTCGAGCGTTAAGATTAATTCTTAGTATGTTGTCACTTTGTAGTTCAGATTCTATAAAAACAAATTCTATAATTAAACATTTTAGATATAAATTAAAATTTGTTAATTTGTCACGCTAACAATATGAAAGTTTATATACACCATTTTCCCGATTATATTTAATTTCTATTATCGTATTGTGTAACGAAAAAAAGTGATAAATTCGTATATGAGGTAATAATAGATATTTATTTCTCATATTCTAACATTTATGGAGTATATTTATTTTTCACTTATATCTTAAGATAAACACATATCAATAAAAATCGAATGGAAACTGATTTCGCATAAATCTAAAATTGTCGTTTTTAAGTAAAAACATATGAAATTATTGATAGTATTAACATGCAGTTATTTGTTGGAACATTAAACATTTGATACCGGAAATGTGATAATCATGTTTTTAAATTATTTAATTCAAGATCATTCTCTCCACCTGAAATTACTGTAGTAGTGATTTGACCCTGTGCATCACACTTTTCCTTTAACAATAGAGTCGTGCCAGTCATCTATCTAACTCTTTTTAGGAGAAAATATTTGACTTGAAATAACATGACTTCCAGTTTGCATCAGAACTTATGTAGTTAATTGAGCTCCTATGTCTAATGTTTCCATATTTGGTCTCGTTGTTCACATATCTAACTCCATTCTTGAGATTAAGGAAAGGCAGACAGGCAGGCGGATGGACAGATAATAGTAAAAATTTATAAATCTGCAATTTATTCAAATTGCTGCCCAATTATATTGAATGTACACGAAACTGATTTAAGACGGCTTGATTAAATTTCAAACTTTAAATTTTAAATACATTAAAAAATTGTAGAATAATTTTAAGCAATTTGTATTGTGCAAAATATCTAACTAAATAATAAATGATAAAATAAATGGTATATAAAACAATCTACATGAAAGTTCAAATCGCATTAGAATATCTCTCATACTTGTTGATACTTGGAGTTTTATCTTACAAATGTTAATATTATTTTAAAGATACTTATGAAAAGCAATTCAGGTGTAAGCAAAAGTATGTGCCATAATGAAGATTTAAAAAATGCAAAAATTGAACGTATTCAGAAGTTTTTCTTCTTAGTTCAATTTAATCAGAATAAAGTGAATGAGAAAACATGAATATAACTTATTGAAACACATTGGTGTTTAGTTTTTAGCATTCGTTAAAATGCAAATAGCACCGAAACCCTTCAAATATATTCTATAACGATATAACCCAAGAAAATTTTGAAAAGTTTAATTTATACATTGGATAAATCTTCGAATGTGTTTACGAGAAAATAAGACATTTTTTGTTGCTTAGTAGAAAATAAAAAGTTATTGTAGGAGAGAATAATAAAGGTAAATAACGTCTTAAATTGCAATGTTTATAAAACATAAACATTTAGAAACACGTAATTACCACCATTTGGCAGTTACAAGTCACTACGTTGCAGTCTCAGTTTATGTTGTGTGATCATAATCATGAAGTATAATCATGAATTTTTTTCATTTCTTACATAGTAGTAATTGTTGAATGTTTAGCATTGAATATTGCATGCAAATAAGAAAATTAATTCATTGATGTATTAGTGAAGTCTTCCGATATTATTAAAGTCTTGTATTTGTAAGCTAGACCAATGAAATACTTATTTTATTTATTTTAGATTATACTGTACAGTATTAATTAAGGAAACAACTAAAATGATTATGTGAAATAGCAGAAATTCCTATATCAGACCTAGTCTTTATTATTAACATTTCGCGAGTTACGCAACAATTGTTGTTCTTAGCTACCTGAGAAAGTCTCCCGTTACATTTTCTCGAAGGCAACATGACGCTTTCTCGTGAACTCTTAACCTCTGTACGGCCGAAATCGTCCGTGAATATCTCCGAGAGACGGCCGAAATTAGTCAGTCGTCGTCTGTCCTTCCGACACAGAAAACCCACATCGCTTACTTCTAATATCATCCATCAGTTCCCATCGGATATCGGAATATCATCGATCAGTGCCCATCTTTGTTGAATACTTTTGCCATCATTGTGCTGTGGATATTATCGTGAACCTAATCATCATCCGAACAAGTCTCAACGCTCATCGGACACTTATCAACCAACAATCAACCAATTTTTGCCTACGAGAACAGCCATATTATCCCCAGGTATTTATACAACTCGCGCTCGTTCTGTAAACTCTCTCTCTCCGCGACATAATCTTAGAATTCTGTATTGTACCTAATGAACATTTTTTTAATTAAATCCTTGTTACGTTTGAATTGTAGTGCGAGTCACCCGTATGTTGTCTTTCGATCCGACCTTACGAATCCGTCGGTCCACTTACGGGACCGCTCGCGCGACGGTGTGACGCGATAGTTGCCGTCTCGGTTTCCGTGCTCCGATAAACAAGGTGGTGTCAATCCTGACAGGGCACCAAAGAGGTGACAACCCGAAATGTCACAATTACTTAAGAATGAAAGTTACAGTTACCAGTTACAGGCGGCCGGATGGCCGAGCGGTCAAGGTGGCAGCCTACCGCTATGGGGGACCCGGGCTCGAATGCAAACGGGTCGAAAAATCCCCAGGAATTTTTCGGGGGGTGGTCCGTTCGGATATGTCGGGTCCTGTCCCTCACAACCCGGCAGCCCCATTGTGGACCTGGCCGAACCCATAATGGGCTTGCAAAAAAAGGCCCTCTCAGTGCCCACAGGGCGGAAAGAGTAATTGAAAAAAGTTACCAGTTACGGTTATTCTTCTCTGTCTTTGCAGTCCAGATCTGGCACGTTCAGAATTCTGGTTTTCCCAAAACTGTGTATAAAAGCAAACAATTTTTATCGGATGCATAAGTTCAAGCAGTGTATAAAAATGGATGAAAGACACACCAAGAAAATTTTATCGATCGGATACATAGTGTAATCAATTGAATGTTACATCACATATAACTTTATTTGTGATTTATGAACTATAAACTTGAAATAAAAATTACTTTAATTAAAATGTTTTAAATCAGAACTCAAGTTTTGAGCTACAACTAGTGATTATATGAATACATATTTCTTTATTAAATCTGTTGTCTGTTTAAAAAAAACAAATGTAAATAAACAAAAATCTGAAAAAAAAACAAAACCATTCTGTAAAAAGTAAATTAGTTTATATATACTAATTAATATGTTTATTTGCCTATGCTCAAACCCTTCATTCCATGTTATAAAATATATGCTTTTTCCTTCCTTTGTTTATATTAATAAAACACCAAATAACAGAAAATACGACAGGCACTAAGAGTATAGCATGACATGCAGTTAGCGCCGCAATTATAACAATTATTTTAACGAATACTTCACTCAGAAACACAGTTTTGTGTAAAAGAATCAACACACCTATTCCGGTTGAGAATGCGCCCTGAAATATCGGAAAACCCACATTATATAAACTATGCTGCAATCTACCTTTTATGGTTTTATCTGACGAAGTGTGAAAAGAATAACATATGTGAGTAGGGTAATTAACACAAAACCCCATAGAAATTACTAAGCAGAACATGGAAGCGATGTCCAAGTAGACACCCCATAAAGACATATAACCCAGAGTTTGTATCGAAATAGACGAAATGCTCAAAGCAACGACAACCGAATACAAAATATTTGGATTAAAGCAAACAAAAATAACAAGATTTATTAACGACGTCATCCAAAAAAATTGAAAAATGACTTCTCTAATAACGATACTTTGCTCGACTATAGGCGATATCAGGGTATGTATAAAAACGGAAAAAGGAAATTCCTCCGCAATCTTTTGTATATCTATAATTAATTTCGACTCCGTGGTTCTATCCGAAATATTTCTTGCTAAAAGGAAGAAACGACTGCAAATAATATCCGTATAATTATGATTAAATACGATATCATTCTCGTAATGTTTGGCTCCTGGAAATTTCAAAAAAACATTTCGTAAAGCATCGATAAAATCTTGTTTCGTGGATAAATCGTATCCCATAAAAGAATATTTCGCTGCTGAATGCTGTTGAAAGTCTTTGTAATATTTTAACCACGAAATATCCATATCAGCGACGTTTGGATGAGACTGGAACTTCTTAATCATGTCATCTAGTGATTTCTGAACGACTTCGTTTGAATAATCCAACGTTTCGTTAATCACTATGTGAATACTAAATGGATATTCAGTAAAATATTTATAATATACTCGAAATGCTCGGGTGATCTCTGAATTTTCGGGATAAACACCAAAAACATCAAAACCTTCGTTCAAAGAAATAATGCCCCATATACTAAAAGATAAACTAACGACATAGACAAGTAATATAATAATTTTGCTTGAAGAATAAAGAAGAAACGGCGCAACTTTGTCCTTGAAGAACTTCATGAAACTATCTTCTTGCGTCTCTTCTTCATAATTATACATTATGCTGCGTTCTGAAAAATATTAAATACGCAATTAGCCTATTGCATTTATCACGCGAAATGAAAGGAACTTAAATTTGACGAAACTAAAAAACTTAAAAATTTTGTAAAAATAAAAAATTCCAAACTGTTAAATTACTAGCTGTTTTATTATCATATTAATATNGTTGTTTATTTAATTTTCGATATCTAAAGAATCAAGTTATTACAATCAACCAACAAATTAGTTAATAGAATCAGTCACATTATAACGTGTAAATGAAATAAATTTTAAAAATTATATAATAAACTTTTCGTTACCTGAAACACATTTACACGAAATGGGATTGAGACCTTTCTCTTCTCTGTATCCACTCAAAGCCAAACATCCTCCGAAAAACGTCAGCTGAAAGAAATACGTAAAACAGATGCAGGTAGCAGCATAAAAGCCGAATATTTTAATTCCTGGAAAGGGACAATTCATTGCAACGCAATAAGAACAAAAATTGGTTAACGAAGTTATAGTTATGGATACTGCTGCATTGGAATACGTATCTTCCATCCGCTTTTCAACAGAATCGCGAGTATTAGTTGTTCTCCAACACGCGATAACTACGAAAGAATCGTCCACTTCTGTCACTGAAAAACAATTTCAAAATATTAGCCAGAAAAAAAACGTACACATTATATAACA